ATGGCCACCACCACCACCACTGAGACACAGCATGGCCACCACCACCACCATGGCTGAGACACAGCATGGCCACCACCACTGAGACACAGCATGGCCACCACCACCACCACTGAGACACAGCATGGCCACCACCACCACCACTGAGACACAGCATGGCCACCACCACCACCACTGGCCACCACCACCACCACTGAGACACAGCATGGCCACCACCACTGAGACACAGCATGGCCACCACCACCACCACTGAGACACAGCATGGCCACCACCACCCCCACTGAGACACAGCATGGCCACCACCACTGAGACACAGCATGGCCACCACCACCACCACTGAGACACAGCATGGCCACCACCACCACCACTGAGACACAGCATGGCCACCACCACTGAGACACAGCATGGCCACCACCACCACCACTGAGACACAGCATGGCCACCACCACCACCACTGAGACACAGCATGGCCACCACCACCACACTGAGACACAGCATGGCCACCACCACCACCCCTGAGACACAGCATGGCCACCACCACCACCACTGAGACACAGCATGGCCACCACCACCACTGAGACACAGCATGGCCACCACCACCACCACTGAGACACAGCATGGCCACCACCACTGAGACACAGCATGAGACACCACCACCACCACTGAGACACAGCATGGCCACCACCACTGAGACACAGCATGGCCACCACCACCACCACTGAGACACAGCATGGCCACCACCACTGAGACACAGCATGGCCACCACCACCAGACACAGCATGGCCACCACCACTGAGACACAGCATGGCCACCACCACTGAGACACAGCATGGCCACCACCACTGAGACACAGCATGGCCACCACACCACTGAGACACAGCATGGCCACCACCACTGAGACACAGCATGGCCACCACCACTGAGACACAGCATGGCCACCACCACCACCACTGAGACACAGCATGGCCACCACCACCACTGAGACACAGCATGGCCACCACCACCACCACTGAGACACAGCATGGCCACCACCACCACCACAGCATGACACACCACTGAGACACAGCATGGCCACCACCACCAACTGAGACACAGCATGGCCACCACTGAGACACAGCATGGCCACCACCACCACCACTGAGACACAGCATGGCCACCACCACTGAGACACAGCATGGCCACCACCCACTGAGACACAGCATGGCCACCACCACCACTGAGACACAGCATGGCCACCACCACTGAGACACAGCATGGCCACCACCACTGAGACACAGCATGGCCACCACCACTGAGACACAGCATGGCCACCACCACCACCACTGAGACACAGCATGGCCACCACCACTGAGACACAGCATGGCCACCACCACTGAGACACAGCATGGCCACCACCACTGAGACACAGCATGGCCACCACCACTGAGACACAGCATGGCCACCACCACTGAGACAACAGCATGGCCACCACCACCACCACTGAGACACAGCATGGCCACCACCACCGCCACTGAGACACAGCATGGCCACCACCACCACTGAGACACAGCACGGCCACCACCACCACCACTGAGACACAGCATGGCCACCACCACCACCACTGAGACAACAGCATGGCCACCACCACCACCACTGACACACAGCATGGCCACCACCACCGAGACACAGCATGGCCACCACCACCACCACTGAGACAACAGCATGGCCACCACCACCACCACTGAGACACAGCATGGCCACCACCACCACTGAGACACAGCATGGCCACCACCACCACCACTGAGACACAGCATGGCCACCACCACCAACACTGAGACACAGCAAGGCCACCACCACTGAGACACAGCATGGCCACCACCACTGAGACACAGCATGGCCACCACCACCACCACTAAGACACAGCATGGCCACCACCACTGAGACACAGCATGGCCACACCACTGAGACACAGCATGGCCACCACCACTGAGACACAGCATGGCCACCACCACTGAGACACTGCATGGCCACCACCACCACTGAGACACAGCATGGCCACCACCACTGAGACACAGCATGGCCACCACCACTGAGACACAGCATGGCCACCACCACTGAGACACAGCATGGCCACCACCACCACCGAGACACAGCATGGCCACCACCACCACCACCACTGAGACCAGCATGGCCACCACCACTGAGACACAGCATGGCCACCACCACTGAGACACAGCATGGCCACCACCACTGAGACTGAGCATGGCCACCAGCACCACCACTGAGCCACAGCATGGCCACCACCACCGAGACACAACATGGCCACCACCACCACCACTGAGACACAGCATGGCCACCACCACCACCACTGAGACACAGTATGGCCACCACCACTGAGACACAGCATGGCCACAACCACTGAGACACAGCATGGCCACCACCACCACCACTGAGACACAGCATGGCCACCAGCCACCCCCACTGAGACACAGCATGGCCACCACCACCACTGAGACACAGCATGGCCACCACCACCACCACTGAGACACAGCATGGCCAACACCACTGAGACACAGCATGGCCAACACCACTGAGACACAGCATGGCCACCACCACTGAGACACAGCATGGCCACCACCACTGAGACACAGCATGGCCACCACCACTGAGACACAGCATGGCCACCACCACTGAGACACAGCATGGCCACCACCACTGAGACACAGCATGGCCACCACCACTGAGACACAGCATGGCCACCACCACTGAGACACAGCATGGCCACCACCACTGAGACACAGCATGGCCACCACCACTGAGACACAGCATGGCCACCACCACCACTGACACACAGCATGGCCACCACCACCACCACTGAGACACAGCATGGCCACCACCACCACCACTGAGACACAGCATGGCCACCACCACTGAGACACAGCATGGCCACCACCACCACCACTGAGACACAGCATGGCCCCACCACCCCCACTAGACACAGCATGGCCACCACCACTGAGACACAGCATGGCCACCACCACCACCACTGAGACACACAGCATGGCCACCACCACCACCACTGAGACACAGCATGGCCACCACCACTGAGACACAGCATGGCCACCACCACCACCACTGAGACACAGCATGGCCACCACCACCACCACTGAGACACAGCATGGCCACCACCACCACCACTGAGACACAGCATGGCCACCACCACCACCACTGAGACACAGCATGGCCACCACCACTGAGACACAGCATGGCCACCACCACCACCACTGAGACAGCATGGCCACCACCACTGAGACACAGCATGGCCACCACCACCTCCACTGAGACACAGCATGACCACCACCACCCCCACTGAGACACAGCATGGCCACCACCACTGAGACACACATGGCCACCACCACCACCACTGAGACACAGCATGGCCACCACCACTGAGACACAGCATGGCCACCACCACCACTGAGACACAGCATGGCCACCACCACTGAGACACAGCATGGCTACCACCACTGAGAACACAGCATGGCCACCACCACTGAGACACAGCATGGCCACCACCACCACTGAGACACAGCATGGCCACCACCACTGAGACACCAGCATGGCCACCACCACTGAGACACAGCATGGCCACCACCACCACTGAGACACAGCATGGCCACCACCACTGAGACACAGCATGGCCACCACCACTGAGACACAGCATGGCCACCACCACCACTGAGACACAGCATGGCCACCACCCCTGAGACACAGCATGGCCACCACCACTGAGACACAGCATGGCCACCACCACTGAGACACAGCATGGCCACCACCACTGAGACACAGCATGGCCACCACCACTGAGACACAGCATGGCCACCACCACCACTGAGACACAGCATGGCCACCACACACCACTGAGACACAGCATGGCCACCACCACTGAGACACAGCATGGCCACCACCACCACCACTGAGACACAGCATGGCCACCACCACTGAGACACAGCATGGCCTGAGACACAGCATGGCCACCACCACTGAGACACAGCATGGCCACCACCACTGAGACACAGCATGGCCACCACCACTGAGACACAGCATGGCCACCACTCTCCCAGACGTAACGTAAGCGAGAGTAAGAAACGACCTAAGGACACTAATAGTAATAACATACCAGTCAACTCATCATAAACAAATCATCACAACAGTAAACACATCAAATACGCAAGAGTGGATTATTGAGAGATCAACTACAAAACAGTTTGGTGTTCGTTGCTTCCGCGTTGGCCAACACAAGCCGGATTGATGGGCGCCTTCACCAGCCGGCTTCTGGGCCTCTACTCCTGCCAGCTATAATTCTTCACTCTTGTCTAACGAGTTTTTCCAGATAATTACGTGATCGATTCTCCACTCACTCTATAATTAGTCGATCAGCTGACGACATAGATGGAGTTTGTTGATGAGTCAGAGAGAGTGATGACGCTCTGAGTGAATCAGAGTATTCACCTAGCAAGCGTGTGTCTGTGTACTCACCTAGTTGTGTTTGCAGGAGCGAGCATTACCTCCTGGACCCCACCTTCCTAGCCGCCGTTTATATAACACAATGACTCCTGTCCTATTTCCCTCTCGTATCTACTTTTAAAATTATGAATAGCCTTTACTTCCACATCCTGCTTCTTTAGCTCTTTCCATTTTCTCTCTGCTCTTAAGCTAGATGAATACTTTCCAACATCCCCGCCTCAAAGTCATGGTTTCAAGCTTCCACCATCCCCGCCTCAAAGTCATGGTCTCAAGCTTCCACCATCCCCGCTTGTTCTATTGGTACTCACTGTGAAGAGTTCTTCTATTTCCACTCTCATTCCCCCTTTGTATTTTATCTGTCTTCATCATGTCGTCCCCCGTCTCCTGTTTTCTTCCGTCGTCAGGTTCTGTTCCTTCAGTCGTTCTTCTTTTCCTATCCCTCGGAAAACAGGTATGATTCTCGTTGCAAACTTCTGAACCTTTTTCAGTTTGCTTACCTGTCTTCAGGTAGGGGCTCCATGCTGGGATACACACTCCAAGACTGCTCTTACACACGCAGTTTAGAGCGCTCTTAAATACTAAAAAAATATACATGTATATATATAAATATATTTATTTACATAAATAAAAGTCTGCAGACACAAACAATGCTCTCTTCTGTCATGTTAGGGATTCTAATCATCCTATTGATTGGTCTTCCTCGAAAATAATCTTTCCTGCCTCTGCTCTACACAGACGCCGTCTTGTTGAATTACCTCTAATACACAACCTTCCCAACATGAACTTGAGTCCTGACTTTGTTGCTGTGGACTCTTCCCTTTCACAGTATATTCTTAAATGCTCTAAACTCTTTAACAAACGTGACCTAACATAAGCTTACCCTTCCATTTATCTTTCTTTCTCTTTCCTTTTTCGTGTTCTGTTCATTATGTATATATATGTTTGTATATATGTATGTATATGTGTGTGTATATATATATATATATATATATATATATATATATATATATATATATATATATATATATATATATATATATATATATATATATATATATATATTTATATATCTATATTTATCATTTGAAAATTGTAATTATATAAGAGTAGTGTACATGTGGAGGTGTAGAGCGGACCAACACCAGTGAACCTACACTTTAAAACTGCATTAATATCCCGGCAGAGCGAGACATTAATGTGTAGGTGATGGATGTGTGGTCACGACGGACCAGCACACAGTCTCACCTCCTCCCACTCTCTCACAATAATAATAATAATAATAATAATAATAATAATAATAATAATAATAATAATAATAATAATAATAATAATAACACAGTAGTTTAATATTAGGTTTAATATTACGATAGAAATATAATATTAATACTGTGCCAGCACCGTAGCTTGACCACTCACCATCATGGTTATGTATTATATATAATTATGATTTAATTAGTACCGATAATATTTATATACTGATTATACAAATAATCTCTGATAATGAGAATAATTAGAGTGATAATGGTCAATAAAATTATTCACTCCCCCCTACCTATATATAATCACTAACACAAATGATCCAAGAAGCATAAGCGAGGTCATTACCTATATATATTATATATAATATAAGATGCCAGCTCCTCCTCAGAACACAGGCCAAAGACCATTCCAACACACAACTGATCGTTCGAACACTTCCGGAACAAGTGCTCCACTGAAGGATTTTATTCGAGCCACAACGCTGTAAATGCTTCACCCACGTACTACAAACACAAATAATGGCCAACAGAACCTAAACACTTAACCCAACCACTGCCTATATATATGAACAATTTGCTAATACATAATATTTCACGCCCATTTCATGTGAAGTAATCTACCCCTGTCTACCTTGTAAATGCCTTTGAGTATTTTGTACGTTGTGATCTTGTCTTCTCTGCTGTTTCCTAACTCCAGTAACGTGAGGCTCATTTTATTCCATACGTGACAGCTCTGTGACCAGTCTAATGACGTCTCTTTGGACTTCATATGATATGTTGTGTTATGTTTAGCGAGGAGAAGATTTCATGCTTGCGCTGCATATTCCAGACGTGGTCTGACATGTCTTGTGCAGCGGTCTAAATTACTTTTATTTTTAGTTGTACATACCTAGTTGCGCTTGCGGGGGTTGAGCTCTGGCTCATTGGTCCCGCCTCTCAACCGTCAATCAACTGCTATACAGATTCCTGAGCCTAATGGGCTCTGTCATGTCTCCAGCGAGCTCCAGCTCCTGGCCGTCGCCTCATAAACATTAAATAATCTAAGCGAAGCCTTTTCAACTCTTCGGCTCCTATAATCCCTTTTCTAGTTAGGTAAACACGTGTGTAGAGTCGTCAACACCTGCACGCAGCCCGCACCACCCAACACCTGCACGCAGCCCCCACCTCCCAACACCTGCACGCAGCCCCCACCTCTCAACACCTGCACGCAGCCCCCACCTCTCAACACCTGCACGCAGCCCCCACCTCCCAACACCTGCACGCAGCCCCCACCTCCCAACACCTGCACGTAGCCTGCACCACCCAACACCTGCACGCAGCCCGTACCTCCCAACACCTGCACGCAGCCCGCACCTCCCAACACCTGCACGCAGCCCCCACCTCCCAACGCCTGCACGCAGCCCCCACCTCCCAACACCTGCACGCAGCCCGCACCTCCCAACACCTGCACGCAGCCCGCACCTCCCAACACCTGCACGCAGCCCGCACCTCCCAACACCTGCACGCAGCCCGCACCTCCCAACACCTGCACGCAGCCCGCACCTCCCAACACCTGCACGCAGCCTGCACCACCCAACACCTGCACGCAGCCCGCACCTCCCAGCACCTGCACGCAGCCCGCACCTCCCAACACCTGCACGCAGCCTGCACCACCCAACACCTGCACGCAGCCCGCACCTCCCAGCACCGGCACGCAGCCCCCACCTCCCAACACCTGCACGCAGCCCCACCTCCCAACACCTGCACGCAGCCCGCACCTCCCAACACCTGCACGCAGCCCGCACCTCCCAACACCTGCACGCAGCCCGCACCTCCCAACACCTGCACGCAGCCTGCACCACCCAACACCTGCACGCAGCCCGCACCTCCCAGCACCTGCACGCAGCCCGCACCTCCCAACACCTGCACGCAGCCCGCACCTCCCAACACCTGCACGCAGCCCCCACCTCCCAACACCTGCACGCAGCCCGCACCTCCCAACACCTGCACGCAGCCCGCACCTCCCAACACCTGCACGCAGCCCCCACCTCCCAACACCTGCACGCAGCCCGCACCTCCCAACACCTGCACGCAGCCCGCACCTCCCAACACCTGCACGCAGCCCCCACCTCCCAACACCTGCACGCAGCCCGCACCTCCCAACACCTGCACGCAGCCCGCACCTCCCAACACCTGCACGCAGCCCCCACCTCCCAACACCTGCACGCAGCCCCCACCTCCCAACACCTGCACGCAGCCCCCACCTCCCAACACCTGCACGCAGCCCCCACCTCCCAACACCTGCACGCAGCCCGCACCTCCCAATTCCAGAAAATAATTTGAATTCTATGAAAATTCAATTTATCAATGAAATTGGAAACATTGAAATGGAATCGTAACATAATTAGGATTGCGGGAGTTGCTCTGACGTGCAACAGATTTCGCTGTTTCTTAAAAAAAATGTTTTTACCTGTCACAGGTGTGGCATCAATATTTATACTTACGAAATGAACGGTATGGAAAACAACATAGCACAATTCCAGCACAATTTCCCACAAAATTAATAAATCGAAATTAAAATAAATCAAATCTATGAAAATGAAATTTATAAATACAATCGGAAACATTGAAATGGAATTCGTAACATATTTAGTATAACGTGGTGTGTTGCTATTACGTGCAACAGATGGCGCTGTTTTTTGGAAAAAAAAAATAGTCATGTTTTTACATGTCACAAGTGTGGCATCAATATAGTAGGTATAATAAAACGTGCGCATATTCGATTGAAACGTTGTCAGAATTACAAAGCTATCAGTGAAGAAATTTCGGAGATTACAGGGTGTGTTGCTTTTACGTCCAACAGATGGCGCTGTTGTTCAAAAAAAGCCTGTTTTTTATGTCACAGGGGTGGCATGTATATAGTAGGTATATAAAAACACACGCCTATTCGAATGCAACTTTGTATCAAAATTTCAAAGCAATTGGTAAAGAGGTTTCGAAGATTTCTCTCACATGAAAAACACATGAAAAACCGTTTTTCAAAAAAAGCATATTTTTTTCCGTTACAGACGTGACATCAATATGTATATAAAACCCTGCTCGGATGCGAATGGAACATTGTGTGAAAATTTCAAAGCAATCGGGGAAGAACTTTCAGAGATTAGCGATTTTGAACAAACGAACATTTACATTTTTATTTATATACTAGCTGTACCCGGCCACGCGTTGCTGTGGCTGAGCAACACATGTGCGTTGCTCAGAAACGTACATGCTGCGTTTCAGCATGTACGTTTATATACATCAATGCAGAGCGTTGCTCTGGGTCACAAACCACTTCTTCTGAAGTTGTATTAATATACGAAAGTACTTAAGGAAATTCCTGTTTCAATTTTCCTCCGTGGTCTGACACTGTCATATATATATATATATATATATATATATATATATATATATATATATATATATATTGTGACGATAATCTCTTTCAAGAGAGATTGAGCCTGCTCTTCTCTACATCAAGTTACGTATAATATACAACAATAAGATGCTACCTTCAAGATACGTCTACCAGTAGCACAAAACGTTTTGACCAGGAGGGAAACGTACCCAAGACTCACCCCCTACTCCACACTCCCTCAACGCCGGCTCGTCATCAACCAGCCAACTACCCTTCCCAGCCTGCCTGCTCCTGATTGGTGACTCGCCGACTGCACACCTGCACTTCTGCACCTCAGCGCCCTCTACCTGAGTCGATGTCTAGGCTTGAACCAGCCATTGAAGTCAGAATATCCTTGTGCTCTTAAGCAGTGAACAACTAACTGATATATGCTGTGTATCAGGTGGATGTTTCTCAGCTAGTGCCATATTCTCAGCACCTGTGTATTTATATTATTGTAGAGTAACTTCATCCCTATTCTTCATTTATATTATATGTTTTTGACTTGTTTGTTTGCACTGTACATAGCCAAGGGATTGTCTTTGTTTATACTTTGTTTTCTATATTAATTAAAGTGTCATTGTTCATACTATGTGTTTTGCGTGTCTTCCCTTACTTTACCACAGATAAACAGGCAAGCAGTCTATCTTTTTTTTGTAAGTGTGACTAGGCATTGACACCTGCGATTGGAGGACTGCTGAACATCTACACTCCTACACTTTCCCGTCACATTTAATGGGAGCCTGTCCTAGGAGCTTCACTCAGGTACTAGTACCAGAACATCAATTTGTGGTACACGTACTGGCTTTGATACAGTTGCTTTTCAATATTTTCATTACTTTTAAT